GTGTTGTGTACTCTCCACACGTCTCCGTTCAGAGCGTTGGCGGCTCCCTGCAGCGTCCAGGTGAACAACGCCAGCTGCCGCCTGAAGCGCCGCTCGTCGAAGCGCTCGGGGTCGGAGGTCAGGAGGCCCAGGTGCTCAGTGAGCGCGCTCAGAGTGTGGTTGCCGCGGCCGTGGATCACGTGACGGAACGGCGTCTCCACCGCCGACACGTACTGAGACAGGAAGTAGTACTCCACCTGGAGGATGGACGACAAGGACACATGTTGGACTGTGAGAAGTACTCGTACCTTCATGTTTGTAGTTGTTGTACCTTACTGAACACTGTTTGCAATACTCCTTCCTTCGTGATGCAGTGTTTGCAGCACCAGTACCCTCATGTACCCGCTATTTGCAGTACTGGTACATTCATGATGCGGGTGTTGTGGAAGCATGTGCTGTTTGCAGTACTCCTACCTATGTGATGCAGTGTTTGCAGCACCAGTACCCTCATGTACCCGTTATTTGCAGTACTGGTACCTTCATGATGCAGGTGTTGTGGAAGCATGTGCTGTTTGCAGTACTCCTACCTATATGATGCTAAATTTGCAGTACTGGTACCTTCATGGTGCAGGTGATGTAGAAGCATGTGCTGTTTGCAGTACTCCTACCTATGTGATGCTAAATTTGCAGTACTGGTACCTTCATGATGCGGGTGTTGTAGAAGCGTGCGGTGGTCGGGTCGTGCAGGTCGCTGTCGTCGATGGCTCTCTGCAGCGTCTCAGCAGCTCGGCTGTAGTCTCCTCTGGCGCTGAAGACCCACTGAGGAGACAAACCTCTGGACTGACACAGAGACGGCGACACGTGAGGACGGCGTCCTGGCGGCCGAACGCCTGAACTGAGCGCGCCGTACAGGCGACTTACCTGCAGCTCGGCGGAGTGTCTGTTGAGCTGGGCGCTGAACTGCAGCACCGTCTGGGCGTAGGACGTGATGCGTAGCGGCAGGATGTGGTCGTGGGCCAATCGCAGCGCCATCTCCCCCACCAGCTCCCCCAGGCTCCGCCCCGTCACCCCCAAACGACCCCCCAGCACCTCCTGCAGGCGGGACGCGCTGTCCAATGGCGTGTTGACAAACGGATACGCTCGCTCCTGAACAGACGGGAAAACACCTGTGATGATGTCAACCTGCACACTGGAGTACCAGGTAGGCATCACATGACATCAGGAGCAAGCAAAATGGCATGACAACGAAATAAGACATGACGAAACATCATGGACAGTTTGTAGCATGGCACAAACATGACATCACACATGACAAGACAAGCTGGTACGACTCTGACACGTCGTGTGTTGTAAGACATGTCCGGCGTGTGCTTGGCATGTTGTTGTTGACGTGTACCTCGGTGAATCTGAGCTCCATGGCTGGGACTCCTGCGAACGCTGTGAAGCTGTAGGCTCCACTGTTCAGATACAGAGGCTTCATACTGAGGAGAGACGGCAGCACCTCTGTTAGCATCACGACACAAGACATCCGTGTCCTCATGACTTGTTTGTTTCCTTACATCCTCCAGCTGCCTCCTTCTCTCTCAGCCTGGCTGTAGATGGTCTGACCGGCATGTTTAGGATGTTCCACCTGCAACACACACAGTCCCGCTCAGACAGGGGTTCATAGTGGGACATGAAGAGAGCGTTGAGGTTTTTCATAACATGATCACCTGTCTGATGGCAGCGTCCAGCAGGTCGACCAGCAGAGGACTGGTGTAGGCCGACAGGACATCGTCACCTGTAGACAGACAGACAGACGGCTGATTGGTTTACGTCTGTCAGCAGGAGAAACACCTCCACTGATTGGCTGAGAGCTCGGTGTTACCCATGATGGCCTGGTCCAGGCTGAAGTAGGCCACAGCCTTCAGGTGGAGCATGGACAGGTAGCCCTGCAAACAGAGGTCAGGGTTCTGCGGAGGTCTTCTGCAGGAATTTAACATAAATGTTTTTCTGTGGACGAACCTCGAGCCATTCGGTTGCTCCGACATTCCCGAACTCTCCAGCGTCCCAGCTGACAAACAGCAAACTGCGTCTGGGACTGAAGCCTGAAAAACAGCTGATTGTTCCATGACAGGAACCTCACCTGTAGATGTAGAACAGGAGCACACCTGCGTCCAGGTGAGTCTTACCGTTCTTCACCATGACAGAGAAGGTCCGAGCTAACTCCAGCAGGATCGCTGTTCCAACTCCAGACTTCACCGCTCCCGGACCCAGTGAGTCCCTCTGAGCTCCCAGTATGATGTACTGGTCTGACAGGAAAACACTGGGTTGACCAAAGAGTCATTCGTACCTGTCTCCGTCTCTCTACCTGAGCATATCTGTCTCTCGGCCTGGGCATACCTGTCCTTCTACCCATACAGACCGGTCCCTCTGTCTATCTGAGTGTACCTGTATGTCTAACTTTACCTGAGAATACCTGTCTCTCTCTCTCCCTCTGCTTGTGTGTACCTCTCTGTCTCACTACCTTCGTACACCTGTCTCTCTCAGCGTGAGTGTACCTGGCTCGACTCGGCCCTCCAGCGATGAGAAAATGTTGTTCAGCAGAATCGGTGTCATCTTGTTGTGCACTGACAGCTGGACTTTGCGTCCGGCGCTCAAGTCTGGCCCGACCACGCAGCGGACGTACGGAAGTCGACCTCTCCATGATGACGGACAGGACACTCCTGAGAGCTGGCTGAGACAAAGAGTGATGCCATGAGGTCACAGTCACACCTGAGCAGGTAGTCTGGAGGGGCGGGGCTCACCTGAGCAATTTGGCAGCCACGGTGGCTGTGATTGGCAAGGCCGGAATGAACGGCAGACCAGAGGACCGGATGGGTGGGAACTGAGTGTGATTAAAGGAGGGGAAGCCGGGGGTGAAGGGGTCCCCTGACCCCAGGTGTACCTGTGATTGGGCAATAAAGAGGAGGATGCTGATGAGTTGGGGCAGAGCCACAGGGGTAAGTGTGTTTTTAAGAATGTGCGTGTTACATGTTCGGATACGGCGGTGTGGGTGTTCAGTCCAAGGCGCCGGGGGTCCTGCGGCAGGTCGGCGGGGTCAGGGTAGATCAAAGCTCCACCCGCTCCATTCCTCTCAGCCAACCAGACCTTCTCAGCAAAACTGACCCCGCCCCCAACACGCATCACCACCACACAGCCAGCCACGGACACGCCCGCACTCTTCAGCCAATTAAAGTCAGCTGGACGGCCGTAGTTGGCGTAGACCACGCCCCCCTGCAGGCAGACAGGTAAAGGTCACCAAAGGTTACCATGGCGACCAACACCATCTGCCTCGCTGCCTCACCGTAGTGCTTCCTGTGGCGCTGTACGGACAGAAGTCTGACGGGTTCAAAGAAATCTGCTCTGAGATCAGACCAGCAGAGTCCACGAGCCGCAGAGAGCTCCTCTGAGCCCTGCAAACAAACAAACAAACAAACAAACAAACTGAATCCGATATTTAGATTTTTAAAGGCAGGTTAGGGTATCTGAAGTCAAAGGGTCAGTGTTCCCTGTTCACTGCCTGTCAGGATGAGGCAGTGGGAGGTGTTTGTGGTGGAGTCCAACCTGTCCGGGAACTGCAGCGTGGCGTACAGAGACTCGGTCCAGGTGTGATCCATCTGCAGCTGCTGGAAACGACGGAGGATCTCCGAGGCCAGAGCGGTTCCCTCTGAAGAACCCGGAGGATGAGGAGTTCTGCTCACCCGACTGACAAACACACACACCTGTGCACCTGAGTCCACCAATCACGTTGGTCTGCTCACAGCTTTACTTTACACACCTGAACGCTTCTGTTTTGTTTACCTCAAAGGTTTGGTGATGAACACGAACGGCACTAAATCAACAATAAAAGCAAAAACTGTGCCTGAGCGAAACTGAGCAACCTAAGCATCAAAGAGCTTCAGGATTTAAACTTCATTAAAAAACACCTCACTGTAAGAGATTCAACATGATCAAATCAAAAGTAAACGTAGTCGTTGAGCAACAGAAGGGCACGTCTGAGGATGATGTTACTACATTTCAATTTTCTGATGCGGTGAACAACAACAGCTCTCGTCAGTTTATTTCCACACAGATCCTGCTTTTATCCACAAGTTGTTTTTAAAATCTTCTCTGTTTCAGGTACTTTCTGGAAGCAGACTTTAATTTTGCAGGTTAAATTCCACACTGAGATTTTAACATTTCTAAGACTTAATATGACAACACACGATGAGTTGATTTTGTTAAAGATTAGATCTGTTTTTAGTTTCATAGTCATAAAAACTGACAGCCGTTGAGATTTACCTGTCGGCCCTTTGCAAGGGCTTGACCCAGAGGTTGGGAACCGAAATTCAGCTAAAAGTAAAGTAATTCTCTCTGACACGTGTATTTTCTGCCTGAGTAAAAGTACTCAGTTACTCTGGCCATCAGCAGGGATCATGTATAAAGTACCTGACTGTGTTGTGAATGTCTTCATCCTGCAGCAGCCTCCTCATCATCTCTCGCAGGTCTCCCAGGTAAAGCCCCACCCCTCCTTCTGCAGGTGAACTAGCCCTGCCCCCCTGCTGCTCCTCGTCCTGCTCCCCCATCTTGGAGCAGTGGTACCGCCCACTCATCACGGCGTAGGCCAATAGGAACGCTGACAGACAGAGAGAGAGGCCACGCCCACGTCAGTCATGTGGTCAGATGGCGCCATCAAAACAATCAAGCAATGATTACCGGCGGTGAACACGATGGCGCCGCATGCGCACAGCAGCACGCCAGCTCTCCGGTAACCGTGGCGATGCCTCAGCACCAACGCTGTGACATCACTAATAGGCCCCGCCTCTGCCTCATCGTCCTCCGATGTCACAAGTCTCAGCTCCACCCCCTGAGCTCCACCCCCTTCGTCATCATCGGACAGCGAGTGGCGGAGAGTTGCCGAGGAAGACTGCGGAGAGAGAAAGAGAGACGGTAACCATGGTAACGGGTCAGAGGAGGCGAGGCTTGTCTCGCTTGTATCTCACCTGCGTCACATGAGTCGTCATGTTGTCGCTCTGCAGACAAAAAAAAAAACAAACTCAGACATAAAACAGGTAAAAACATCTGGATTTGTTATAATAACTTATGTGTTCACTAACAATTTAGTGTGGAGACAACAAACTCAGATCTTTTCATAAAAAACAAAAGGACCTGAAAATGTCTTTTCTCTGACTTTTTTCTTTTTAAATCTGAGTTTCATCGACTACACAGAGAAACAGAGTTTTTCATACAGAAATAAACAAATGCAGCTTGTTTTTTCTTTAAAAAAAATAAACACTGTTGTGACCTGTTGTGCAGCGAACTAACCCGTTGAAGTGTCCGTCCCTCTGTGGACGACTTGAACCCGCTGAATGTTTCCAGTAAACGGCCACCAACAGACCACAACTGTTACATCAGCTTTCGAAACCAGCAGAAGAACAACAGCAGCATGAGTTCAGGAGGATCTTTGTCGCTGCAGGAGGTTGGCGCCGCCTCGACTCTGAGCGGAGACGCCAGGAAGCCACCAACGTTCTTCGTGTCTGATCCAATCCGGAGATTTTCTCACCTTCACCCAGCAGAAGATTCGTCTGGACGGTGGATCAGTGAAAGGATGAAGTGAATCTGCCCAGCGAGGCTCGCTCCCTCGGCCCGCTGCGATTGGCTGCTCAGAGGGGTCGGAGGTCAGCCGTGTTTGATCTGGTTAACTTTATTAACAGCTGAGTAAACACACACACACACTGAGGAGCTGCAGCTTCAACATTCGATCAGCGATGACACCGCTGCTGCTCGTCTCTCTGCTGCCACCTTAACTGGAGGTTTTAAGGTGGAATTAAAGGTTCGGGCTGGTTGAACGCGTTTACAACATTTCAGTGAAGAGGAACACAACAGACACAGTGATCCGGTCTGAAGCCAGAGGTTTTAAACTCCAGGAGTGAGTTCCACAAAGCTTGCTACGAAAAGTCCGACACCTGACTTTAGAGAACCTAACACATGTTTCAGGGCTAAACTGGTTCAATAACTTGGTTGGTTCAAGTTAGTACGATCAGGCTCATTTGATTCAGGTGACTCTAAGTGTAGTTTTTAAATGGTAACTGCGTAATTAAGTCAAATCATACGGTAGCCCAGCAGAGAGTCACTTAGCT